CCATGGAGAGTCGCTTAGAAGGTTTGACTTAGAACCTTCGACTTAGAGCTTTAGAACATTCATCCTTGTCGTCCTGCTAGAGGGACGCCTGTACATTAGAAAGCTACATCCTAATCACTTTTACATTTGCCCGCAACAGAAGTCACTCGCTTCTACCGTCTTGTGCAAGCTCTTGGTGACGCCGAGAGAATCCGACCCTGAAGTCTAGCCCTCTGGACTTCGTTATTAATTTGTGCGTTCTCGTGACCCCGCGCGACCGTCACACAACCATGGACGGTAAAGTGGTCCTTCCTCGGCGATTTCGGTGTTGCGATCGACACGTCGAAACGCTCTCACGTCCAATTGTGTGATTAGGAACGGGTGCGTCATCCATGGTAGCGTGTTTGGGTCGATGAGAGCGAGAAATTGATCGAGTCGCGCGACTTCCAAGTCGTGGAGGCTGATGAACTCGCTACGGTATCGAGTTCGTCGGCGGCATGACGAGCTCGGGCAAAGGGTGCGCCGAGCCTGGATACCCTGGTGTGTACTCGCACGTGTCAGTCGCCCGCGTCTTCATGGAGTCCATCTTCCCTGTCGTTCGTCTCCAGTCGTTTCCTCTCGTCGGGAAAAGCTGCAGGCAGGCCTTGCTTTCGTCCGTGCTGCACCCAGACGAGGCGTACTGACATTGAATCGCACTTTCACGAACCATCTCAATTTTGTCTCTTCCGTATGGGACGCATTGTTCGAACCGTGATGGTGGTAAATTGCGTTGTCGTGGAGAATGACAGGTACTGACTACGTGAAGACGCTTGTCGACAGCGCATGCCTGCGCGGTTTGGCTCAAGTTGTTGTAAGCGATGGCAGTAGTGTCAAGTATTAGCGTACTGGGCTACAAGAATATTTCCGTGAGTACCTTTCGCAATTTTTCGTTCATTGACTTTAGGGTATAGACATACTGCACTTACACCGCAACCTCTCTTTAGGGCGTGTTCAGAGCAAAGCAATTGCCTGCACTTCTTGTCAAACCAAAATTTTGATGTGCGCAGATAATTGTTTCGCGCACTGTAGAATATCGCCACTGCGACACGCTTCACTGGAGATATTCTCGCGTGAACGTTTAAAGGGCGTCTTGTCCCACATACGTTGCCGTGCACCTTGCCTTTGGTTCGTATGAGCCCTAATAAGAACGATTTGCCTTACAGCAGCGAGCGACGCCCAGGAAATCGCGCACATCGGAGCCAAGCCGAGGTCGTGTGTGCATCTTCGTGCGGGCGTTGCCTTGGTGAGAGCCTCCATCGCGCGTGTCACCCAACCTTCTATCCTCTCGTCGGGAAAAGCAGGAGGTAGGCCTTGCTTTCGTTCGCACCTAGACGAGCATGGAATCGCACTTTCGCAAACTACATCATTGGTGTCTCTTCGGAACGTGTCCGAAGCATGGGGCTGTTGTGTGCTGGGACACCTGTAAGAGGAAAATCGGCCCCTTTCCACGTTGACTTGGCGTATCGTCATTTTCCAATTCACGTCTGCCATGGCCAAATTCCTTGCCCTCGCTGCCGTCGCCGCGTCCGCCGCCGCCCAAGTCGAAGTCGTCAACGGCACCGATGTCCCTGTCAGCAAGTACCCGTTCGTGACGACCATCCGCGAAGCCTATGCTCTTTCGCCCAGGTGCGTCGCGTCCTTGATCGCCCCCAAGGTGCTCCTCGCCTCCGCCAGCTGCTACAGCATTTCGCCGTCGGGTATCTATGCCTCGATCGGGACATACTTGTGGGACAAGGACGCTGAACTCATCAAGATCGTCAAGCAAACCCCGCACCCCAAGTTCAACAGCGATACGGGCGACTTCGACTTAGCCATCTTTGAATTGGAAACCGAATCCAAGGCCGTCCCCGTCGCGCTCAAGTTCAACGAAGACGCCGAGAACGAACTCGGCATGGCGCTTGGCTTCGACCTTGATGATGCGGAAGGAGTCCTCATGGAAGACGACGTCAAAATCTGGTCCAACGACGATTGCGCCGAGGCATACGGGAGCGACGTCTTGCCGTCCACGATGTGCGCCGGTGGCGGCGACAACGACACATGCTTCTTCGTCCCTGGTACACCGTTGACCATCACCCGCAACGGTGTCCAGTACGTCGTCGGTGTGGGGCATTCGGGGGATCGATGTTTCGAGCCGGGTGTTCCCGGCTCCTACTCGCGCGTGTCGGCCGCCCACGACTTCATCCAATCCTTCTTGTCGAACACCACCACCGAGCCTGCGTCCTAAGTAGGAAACCTTCAGCTCAGTTGTCCTACTGTAGTCGATATGATGTCTCTAAAGCTCTCGCCCGCACCTTCATCGAACGCTTCTTGATTGTCACCCCTACCCCTACCAAGCCAGTTTCCTGGTGGTGCCATACACTTCAGTTGCACTAGACCATGTGATGTCTGTAGAGCTCTCGCTTTTCTTTTTGGTCGCATATCTCGTTGGTTGCATCCTCGTTGGAGATCTTTGCGGCGCCGAGAAGACTTGTTTCATCGATGCCAGTCCACTGCTTTCACGTGTCGTCCCTCCTGGTCAGAGCTGAAGCTGATTTTGCTCACTGAGGCGTCGCCCGTGTTGTGAGACTGAGCGCAGTTAGCCTACCGCAAGTACAGTTTTCATGCAGCCAGTGTGTTGACAATATGGTCGAGAGATCTCTTGTCCCGGGGAAGCGGACGGGATCGTCGTCGTCGTTGCTTTTGATTCGCATGGTTCAAATCAGCCTGGCTGGGTTTACGTTGCAAGTGGAGTTGAACGCACGCAATGCTACTGTGACAGGATAAGGAAAAGAGGATGATCCGATAAAAGTGACTTCGCATGAAAGCCAATGTCGGACCGATACAGTAACACCGTACTGTTATGGTACAAAGACGACCAACAACTAATGTAGAAATGTACGAATGGCCCTAAATGGGACCAACGACCTTGAAAAGGATCCAAACCATGATGTGTCCTTGACGTCAAACCGTGGCCCACACCAGGTGATCGACACGGTCCACAAGTTCATTGCCACTTGCTATGGCCAAGGTCCTCGCTGCTGTCGCCGCCACCGCCGAGTCCGAAATCGGCAACGGGACCAACGGGACACGTATGT